AGAATAAACTGGGTTAATCAAGAAAGGACTTGTACCGCTGAAGTTTCTCGGAAAGAATTTATACCAGAAATTATCAAACAAGCAGATACGCAACAATATTATGTTGCTTGCAACAAAAGTATAACCTGATATTGTTGTTAGTCTATGTGCTAAAAGTGTAAAATAAAATGTCTAGACAAGCAAAACTGGAAAAATATTTGTTGCTTTCTTAATTTATTATCTCCATTAATTAAAAAGATTTGTCTGATACGTGTTTTTTAAAATTATGATTAGTTGAAAAGCAGATTTTAAAATTTTTGTTTTGGCCAATAAGATTTGTTTATTGTTGTTTAGATTGCAGTTGGCTATGGTTTATGTTGACCGATCTGTAAAAAAACTATAATGGGTTGGAGTTTTGTAAAAGACCCCGAGGCCTCCGGTCTTCCTACCACATAGTATTTATATCACGCAATGAAAGGATCTAACGTTAGGTCATAGAATAACATTATAAATATATTTACTGGTAGTATTTAGTATGGTAAAGTTTTGTCCTAACTAAACTATGGTTACAGTGGTAATTTATCTCTATCAAATATTGGTCATTCTTAATAAAAGCTTAAATAAGATTAGGCCTAAGACAAGTGGTCTTGTAGATTTCGGTGTCTGCGATTAAAAGTCTTTTGTATTATTTTGAAATTGAACGTTCTGATATCTCAGCTTAATACTTGGCATTTGTTTGCTTTCTCTTAAATTAGTTAACTGGAAATCTGATTGATCATGGTTTAGGACTAAGAGCCTGTATTTAAAGAAGTAATGTTGCAATAAAAATACTACTTTGACTACAAATGTTTTGAAGGTCTGTGCTAATTTAATTATGAAAGGTGTATTTATATTTCTTTATAATTTTATTTTCCTATATCAGAGAGTTTAATTATAAGTAATATTATATACATGGTTAACTCACATCATTGCTAATGTCTCCTCAGTGGCTTAGCAGTAAGTCACTAGGCTTATAATGCTAAAAACCCAGTTTCGATATACTTGGTGGGCACGGCACAGATAGGTCATTGTGTAACTTTGTGTAAAAGTATAAAAATAAGTTATAAAACATATAAAATCCCTTTGATAACAATATACAATGTTCCAAATATTGTGTGTGTGTATATATATATATATATCCATCTAGGTTAAAGCATACATATTTTAAAAATGATTTTCCAAAATTAATACTTTGTTACACAGAACAAAAGAAAAAAGTTCTAGAAAATCAGTTAACAAATGTAAACATTAGCTGTGAATTTTTTAAATATTGCTTTATAAAATTTAAAGATGAAAATGCATTTAATTTTCTGAAAGAAACCAGCAATTCGTCAGAAGAAAAGTCACATAACCTAAAAATTGACAAAAAAAACTAACACAGAAAGGAAATACGCTGCTCAAAACAATGTACACCATTTTGTAACAGTGCATGGCTATAATATTACAAATCGTAGCTTGTACTGTATACAAAGATTGAGTGCGTTATATTAAACCGATTTTAGAGTCTCACTTAGGCCGGTCATACTCTATCTGACGATAGTGAATCTTGACAATAGCCCTTTATTTTAGTTCTATTGCAAAAGACTTCGTCTTAAAGCTGTTATGCCCAAAACATACCATTCCTCCATACAGACTTTCCATAAACCATCTAATGATATGAGGAAGACGGTTTCCCAGCGCCCATGGGTGCTGCAGAAGAAGAGATTGTTCGAATAGAGTAACATTCAGGCTCATCGGATTTCAGTCGTATCCAATATGTAGGGAGTACTTATTGGAGAGGCTTCGTTTTCTGTCGGTGATTCGAAACAATAAAGTTGCATTGAAGACGGCTTTTTCAGAGGAGTCGTCGGGAAAACCTCAGGAATGTATAAGCAACTTGACTCCATGAAACATCAATGCCAGGCCACCCTTATTAACAGTGGTTGCCATGGTTAAAATTAAATCTCATGAACTGTTAAGATGTAAAAATAGCATACACCAAATGTTTATTTAAGAACATAGGCTGAGAGATCAATTATTTGTATTTTAGATCATGTGAGTGATTATTAGATGACAAATTTGCATAAAAATTAATTGTGATGTGGAGGGTGACTAATATTATTATAAAACTATGGTTTGGAGTTGTCATAACTATAATATTACAAACTTTTATCATTCTTTGTTTTGTTCTTTCATTCCTCTGAACAAAACCTTATACACATGGTGGGCTAAACAGCTAAGTCAGAGATCACCTATGGCTTCAGCTTAGCTGTCCATAGTTTGAGCTGCGGACCAATCGGCAGCACTCGCCTCCTGTAGCGGCTATTCTTGACCTGATAGTCGCGAATCGAATTCCACTCTTAAAACGAGCCCACTAGGTGTAAATGCTTAGTGTGTTTGATAACATCACGTCTCGAACCCGAGATCCTCAGATCCGCTTGCAGTACAATAACTACTAGACCATGCTGGGGCCTTAATTGTTTTGACCAGTGTATGTACGATAGTCATTTTTATGTGTATTATGTATAGTATTTGTTTCTTACCAAACTAACAATACGGCTGAACGTCTGTTTCATTTGATATGTAAAATATTTTAAACCAAACATCTGTAAAACGATGAAATTTTATCGAATAGATTAAGTGAATTGTATAACATACTAATTAAAAAATAATTCTATATAAGTCAGTTTTAAAAGATTTTGGCTATTGCGTTGAAGTATTCAGTATTGTTTTTTGTAGTAGTTGTTGTACAATGATCACAAAATTACCACAAATGCTGTTTATCTTTATTGGTAAGGTATTTCACAATCACCTTGGTAGAAAACTTACTACTGTCATCTTGTGACCTGTGACCTGTGACTAGTAGTTCATCAAAGCCACTGTCTTCTTCCAGTGGCCAACGGGAATTTTTTGTGTACTGGCCTTCTTTTATGTAAATCTCTGGATCGAATGTCTAGAATACAGTTTAAGTTTGATTAGTCCTAGAAATCTATCGAAGAGGAAAACGAAAGTGTACTAAATTACTTAATATAAATATACTTAATAAACAATCACTTGTGTACTGTCAATAATTTTTTACTTTACTGAAACATCTGATTTGTCTGGAAAAAAAATAGACTACATTTCTCGAAAAAAGAAGTAGCCAGGAAAATAAAAACATGATAGTGAATGCATAGTGTTACGACAGCTGAAGTCACATGACGCTGGAAGCATGCGCTCTGGAGTTTCTAGAAGGATCATGACTGTTCCTGGCAACTCTAGTCTTTTCTATGCGCCTTCTATTTTAGTATATAAGCCCGGCAAATAAAGCGTAGATATAATTGAAGATAGACATACATAGAGACAGATAATTGAGTCAAGTGAGCGGTAGTGACCCTACGTAAAGTTCGTGAATCGTTGTGAGTTATAGCGTGTGTTTAAGTGAAAGTGACTGTGGAAATTCTTTGTATTGCAAAGTTGTATTGAGAAAGAATAAACTGTTTTATTTAAGAAAGGACTTGTATCGCTGAAGTTTCTCGGAAAGAAATTTTACGGGAAATTATCAAACAAGCAGATACATAACAATAGCCAAGATTGTCACTATAAGTAAGACAAAATGACGTGAAACAATGCAAAGACAAACACTTCACAGGATGAAGGAATGGTGAATGTTTTGATTGCTACTAAAGTTTCGTAGGCCTAAAATTTGGTATAAAAATAATGTAAACAGTGTAATGTTTTATTTTCAACATTTCGAATTCAAAATCAGAAGCGTGTAAAAATATCATTTTAACTCAATTTCTTGTTTTCAATAAATTGTATAAATAGTGCTTCAAAGAATATTTTGTTTTTCATAGTCCAACCCAAATGAACAGTTTTGGTTGAACGACTGCCTCTCGCAATGAGTTGTATGAGACAAAAGATTGATTTGAAATGCTGTTTTTACAAGCTTCTGATTTTGAATCTGCCATGTATAAATTAAGAGGAATGTGTAAAATAATACGTCTGCAGGTTACGTGATTTTTATCACACAATTTAAGCCTAATGGTTAATAATGCTTTTCCAGCTTTCGTCGTTTAACAGTAACTTATACTCAGTTAAAGTGGCTTGAAAAAGGTCCTGGCATGCATGTATTTTGGATTGGGAGGGCGCTGGTTGTTGTTTCCGAAGTATAAAAGTAAAGCCAAATGTATATTTGTGCGATAAGCAGATAAGTGAGAGTAGGGTGTTTTACAGCAGTTTAATATTTTTATTTATTATTTGTTGGCATGCATTCTACCCTACATTAACCACTGCTTCATATTTATAATAACAGGCAAATTAAGTGTAAAGCTCGACTATTATACATGTATTTGGACAATATTAATTTACCTTGAAAAGTTTTCCCGTTAACTCCAGGTCAAAAGTCTTAACTCTTACAAGAAAATGTTACACACTAAACGAATACTAAGTTGGAAGTAATGGTGTATTGGGCTAATTTTTAAACATATTTTTTTACTTTTAGGTACTTGGACTTGCAGGAAGTGAATGCATGTTTTCTAGGGAGGTTTCTAATGTTCTAGATGATTTAACTTTAGTACAGACAGAAGTTTGTATACTTTTTCTAAAAATTTAATTATTTTAAAAGAAGACATGCGTTCACGCGCGACTGCTACACGTCTAGTATCACATAAAGAGCGTGACTTAACATGACTTTTATGTTCTGTCTTAGTGGAATAGTGGAGTGATAGTTTTCAAACCTCTCTTTATGTTTGATAACTGTAAAATAGTAAAACCTTATTTCTAATACAATTCACGAATAAATGAAAGGTACCTAAAAACCTTGTATAAACATACTACATAAAGATGCTTGCTTACATATGGTGGCATGTAGTATTTCACTTTGAGTTCTTTTTCTTGAAGCTTTTTAACCTGAAAAATAAGAAAGAAATCGAATAAAAAATTCCTTACACGTTTAACTCTGTTAATGACTCTAACGAATGACTTATAAATATAACCGCAAAGAAAGAAAAATCCAAATACTCCAGTAATCTATAAAATTACTTTAATTATCAAATAGTAAAAATCGATTAGCATTGAAAATTATACAAAAACTATATTAAAATGTGTTATACATATATATAACACATTAACTTTCCAGTAATTACTTCGTATTTTAGATATAAAAATACAAAACATGAATATATCGTAGCATTTTAATCATCTAGAAAACAAGAAAAAAATCAACATGTCGTATTACAGTACTTAGTCATTTCTGCTATAGAAGCTCTTTATTAAATAGGCTATTTATTACTGTACTTAATAAATAAAATTGTTAGCCACGCACCTGCGTGAAATTCCTGCCAACACGTCGGAGGAATACGTAATGCTCGGGAAGTGTTTCCTCGCACAGTTGTTTCGGAAACACCGTCCTTAAATCGGACAGTGTGATGTAAGGCGGCACTCTGAAACAACCAAATACAACGGAGTAGTTATATGCTTTGAGTCTTAAGCAATATATATATGTATTACACTTTTTCTTATCATTTTCTTACCAAAAGTTCACCCGAAGGCAAGAGAAGTTGTTAGGTTTATAAACACGTTTTGTAAAACCTATTTATGTGCCAAATTGCTTGGGGGCTCAATTGAACCAATATTGTAGTTAATTCCAATAATTACTGCTTGTATTTCTTGTTTGTATTTTACATAAAAAATGGATGAAATCACCCAATTTATTTGGGTGGATTTGTCTAAATTAAGTGTTGTAGAAGACGAAGACTTAAATGTGTTCGATATGATGTAATATGTGGACCTCACCAGAAGTAAACGGTTTAAAAATAAACCGTTAAATGGAGGGTTAACGTACAAAGTTAAGAATGCGAACAACAATCGCAACGTCTTTACGATTATATTGTTCATGTAATCTAGTTTAGTAAAAATTTATTCACAACATATTATGTACTATGAAGTAATTTTAGAAACTTTACCTTGCTGGAACTGGCAAAAAAAGGTGCAAAACAGTTTAAGTTTGTAAAATTCAAGTCATACATAATATTAAACACATCATAAATAGAAGATAAAACGCTTATTAAAGTCTGTAACCCATCTATATTTGATTTTCTCAATATGTCAATACTAAATCAGAAAAACTAAGTTGGCAAATAAATCACTTATGTCGATCAAGCCAAGGAAATGGTTCAACCATTTTATTAGTATAAGGACTTACTTGGTACCCCATTATTTCTATTCCCAAGTCCCATATTGGACGTACTTTGATAAGTTTTTTTTTACACCTAATACAAATATATATGTGGTTTGTAAGGCTTTCTTCCAATGAAGCAAACAAGTATAGAATTTTTGATATTCTACTAGATTTCTAAATTTTCCTTGGTTCTTACAAAACGTCAAAAATAAACCACTAGAAACAGCTCATTACTCGGAAGAAGAGAAGTCAGACTAGTTATCACCGCTGCTTTTCCATTTCTACTCTCAAACAGTGGTGCATGGGAGGACGTTGAAGCAACTGTAAAGTATAGAGGAAAGAAAACCAAAGCAGTCAGGTTGTCTGATGATATAGATTTGGTTGCATGATCCGGAGAAGAGCTGCAAACTTTAGTAGAAAAAATGAAATGTGGGAAAGTATATAGGGATGAATATTAACGTGAAGAAAACAAATGTTACAAAGATTTCAGAAATAAAAGTGGCAGAATGAACATCTGTGTAGAAGGACAACAACTGGATAAAGTGAAACAGTTTTGTCATTTGTGGAGTATTATACACAGCAAAGTAAAATGGTCAAAAAATAAAGAAGTACAATGGGAAAAGAAGTTTCTTTTAACAAAAATATGGACTGAACACTGAAGAACAGATTGATTAAAACCTTTGTATGCAGTGTGGTACCATACGTAGCGAAAACATGGACTTTGAAGAAAGATGACATTAGAATGTTTTGAAATGTGGGTTTGACGGAGAATGAAGAAAAATCAGTTAGATAGAAAAGAACACGATTGGAGAAGTGTTAGAGATGGTTTGTTGGGAAAACAATACAGCAAAATAAGAAATGGATTGGGCATGTAATTAGAATAGAAGATGAAAGAAGTGTTAGAAAGAAGAATGGTAAGTAAAATAGCACGTGGAAGGAAAAGGACGCTTTTGTTTATATTAACTTAAAGAATGAAGAACTTATAGTGATTTAAAAAGGAATACGGATGATAGGGAAATTTTGTGAAGTATGAGTAATTGACAGTAACGTATTGATTGACATTTTATCAATTGAGTCCTATACTTACAGTCAGAATACCGAAGTTGATCTGAAAACATAAGCAGTATGACTTCTGACATTGATCGTTTTTAACTTAGGCTTAAATGGATAAATAAGTTGGGATGAGTCGGTATTCCAAAAACTAGGACTTACTTCTCGCCGCACTTGGAAAACCAGTGTGGAGTTTGTTAATGAAATCTGTAAAACGGCTATTTTTATGCTTTCAATGATAACATGTAAAAATTGCATTAAACAACGCAGTTTTTTTTTTCAAATTACCCAGTCAGACGCAACATTTTCTAACATAAAACGGAATTCGGGAATTAGGATTGTCAGTATAAACATTTCAAATGCTAATTGGCATGTATAAGAACTTGTCACCTTAAACAGTAACTTTTTTTCTTTCTAAATCCATTCCTAGACGTTCTGGCATTGCATTTAATGTCAGAATAAAACACTGTAGTACGAAAAGCACCAGACTGGATTTACATAATAAAGCCCCCCCCCCTCCCCAGTGGCACAGCGGTATGTCTGCCGACTTACAACGCTAAAAACCGGGTTTTCATACCCGTGGTGGGCAGAGCACAGATAGCCCTTGTATAGCTTTGTGCATAATTAAAAATAATTAAAAATTTAAAAAATTTGTTTACAAATGTAATAACAAAGCTCTTCTAACTTATACTCGAAATCAAATTTATCAAAATCTCATAACTGGAGTCGAGAAATCGGTTGTCCTTGATCACTTACTTTTGTTTGGGAAGACTACATAAGCTTTGCTTATACTGCTTATACGCTCATCTGAGGAATCAGTAATAAAACATTGAAATAATTCTCCGAATATGTGCCTTTTTTCATCCTTTTATTTGTATCGCAAGATTGTGACAGTGAATGGGCACTTCTGCAAATACATTGACCTAATGAGAACATCCATGTTTCGTATAATGGTAAGTTATATGGACCTTGGGAGTTAACAACTGGTACTTTTTTATGTATTTTGTAAGTATAGTTACCTATTTTTTGTTTTTTATACTCGGTTTTATCAAATCGTAATTGTTACAATGTTGAAAGAAAGTTTAGAAATTTTGAAATTAAGTTTTACATTTATGAAAATTATTTTACATTATTAGCTTAGTATTTGGTGGACTAACCTCAATTTTCTAGGCCGACATGACCTAATATCTTGAGATAACGTTGTTTGTCAAACTGATGGTCATGCAATGTCTTACTCTAAGTGAGATTTTGCTTTAATTTAACTAACAACCAGCTCTTTTTTTTTCAAAAAGTCGTGTCAACTTTTTTATCTGTCAGAGACAATCCATCATGCTTTATCACATGCTTCAAATAGTTATCTAAACTATATGAGCCGCTATAGGCAATTGGTTTTGCTTCATTAGTTTCCACAAATAATTAGTTAAGTTTCAGCAGCTTCTAGAGATAATTTTTCCCACTTATAGTTGAAAAATCATAAAGGCGTTTTTTTTCTTTTTCTTCTGTAGCTTTTCCGTATCTATACGGGGTCGCTATTATAAAGGCGTTTTTTTAAATACTGTAAAAGAAAACATTAATTCTAAATTGGTAAGTACACCTTCCTTGATTTAAGACTTGGCTTGTGACATATAAGCCCTGCTTATAATAAGGATATAGATAATAATTAATAAATTCAGAAACCTATTTTGTAGTCTTGCGCTAAAGAATCAAAGTAATCAAAACTTAAGCAAAAATATATCAAGCAACAATTCACTGTTTGTCCGAAGATTCCACAAGTTTTATTTTTACAGAATTCAAGAATATATTTTTCATGCGATATTCAGAAAGAGTTGTTTAAAGGTCTTACGTTACAAAGAGTTCATATTAAAATAAATTATGCACGTGAAATTTGTCCTTTTGGAAACAGTTCTTTGAAAGTCAAAATCTATCAAATTTTTTATCGTACTTGTTCATGATAATTGAGAGAAGTGGCTACTTTCTGACGATCGATGAGAGACCTTCAATTGTTCTAGTGAGGTTTAAAACTGAATGAAACTCTTTTAAAGAAAGAAAATTGATTAATGATGGGGCGGACGAATAGATATAGCGACCAAGAATTACATACGGACAAAGAAATGCGTGAATGAAATATTCTATCTACTAGTTACACAATTTTGAAGTTTCACAGTCAGGAAACCGTAACTGTCATTTAAACATAAGAAGAACTGGGACTGAAAATACACATGCACAAAAAAAATGCATTATGATAAGTATAAAAACCAGTGACGTAATTACAAAAGATGGGCCCCCCTACATTTATTTCCCTATAACTGTAGTTACGATTCTGGCTGATTCTGGCCTCCTTTTGGCTTGGGCTCACCCGCAATTGCGGAGGCAATCTTACGCCACTGATAAAAACAATAACTAATAATAATAAGGGATGACTACAGGCTATTAATTTGGTTTATTTAAATCAGATTTTTCTATGTCATATATCTGGTCTTCAAGGTCCACACGTGCTCCTTTAAGAATAAAGTTATTATACTGATTAAAACAAAAAAAATCTGTAACTTACCTCACAAAACCGGAGGATATAGCATAATGAACCACCTGTGTCTTGGCAATATTCTGACGTTCTATCCAGCGATCGCGGGGAACTTGGTAGATGTGTATTTCCACTAGCTGAAAAACAAGGGAACGTGCGGTGGTAAGAAGACGTTTTATTTGAAGTTAAAAGGGTAGTTTGCAGAGTAACAAAAATATTCAAGTGAAGAATATAAATAAAAATTTATATTTTGTGTTAATAACGTTATTAGGTTTTTCTAAGAGTTTGATACTGCTTAAAATTAAACTGATCGTAAACATTGATTTTAGAGAAGTTATTTTATGTGAACTATTCCAAATAAATGAACATTTATTAGTCATGTTTAGAATGTGTGTGGCAAAATGACCATTGGAAAATCATATAGACATCTATGCTTTATATGTAGGAACTGAAATTTTCAACCTGAACAGCACCTTTGAATTTTTAACAAAAACGGCCAGGTCTGGGACTCCACGAATTCAGGCTAATATTGAAGAACTTTTTAGAGGAAAGGCATTCAGCCAGCAACACCTGACGTAATAAGGAACTATGGTAATAACGGTCTATGATATTTATATCGTGCCCATCAAGTCTCGAACCCTAGGTGCTTCGATACTCAGACCGACACGTTAACCATTAGGCCACGTCTGTCTTGCTTTGTAATAATCAGTTTTTTAATTGGTTAAATTATATATATATTTAATCGAAAAATTATATATATTTTTAATCGAAAATTTTTAGTTTTAATTTCTTGGAAATTTCAATTATTCTTAAATACAGATGGACTCTCTGTGAACTGCTGCATAAACTAAAAACTCAAAATTGTCCGTACCTTTTGGGATGATGTCGAAATTGCGATTTAAAACACTAGGAAGTGAAGAATATGTCAAATCAAGTTATTATGTGTTCTATAATATTTGAGAAATTACTCTATTTCTTATCTCATATGTTGTTGATGCACAGTGGACTTTCTACACTCAGAGCACCTCGGGGAATCGAACCCCGGATTTGACACGTTGTAAGTCTGTAAAGTTACTGTTGACTCACCAGGGACTTCTCTCTTTTAGCTTAGAAAAATGAACAGCTTTTTTTTTCTTTCCACCTAACTGTTTGAAAAAGTTCGCATATACAAGCGTTCGGGTGAACATGTAGAGCTTAACTACCTTATTGTTTGTGCTAGTTTCACACTTTTAGAGTTATGATTTGTGGGTTTTCCTGAACTCTCCTACGAAAGGTGTCCTTTACAATGTGTTCTCTAGTAACATCGGTTGGTCGTGTCATCTCCTCTCTATTTTTGCAGAGAAATTAAAAAAAAAGCTTTAAAAATTTCGACTTTCATCGGGATTTCAGGCATCTTTTATATCACACCTACTTTTCTTGAAAACAGTTATATGGATTCACGATTCAAACCCTGATGCCGCTGAAGACACTCTGGTATGGTGTGTTATAAAAGCGACAGTTTCGTTATTCGGACCAAAGAGCAGGACAAATATCTTGGGGTATTTGGTAATGCTGATTGGCTGCCCTCCTTTTGGTCAGTATAGACGGCACACTGAGAAAACTGACCATATTCATACAAATAATAGTTGTTGGTTCTCTCTATGGATGGGACAAATAATAGTTTTCGCTCCTCATATCCGACCTGATTTGGATATTTTCGGATTGGATAGTATATTTGGCCATAGATATTTATAATATTCCTCGGGCATGAGCTACACTATATTATAGCACAGTGTTAAATTAGTTTCTTCATCATTTTTATTGTCCTCCGGGGGGGGGGGGCAGCGGTAAATCTACGGACTTACAACGGTAACATTCGGGGTTCAATTTTCCACTGTGGATACAGCAGATAACCGAACGTGGATGTGCTATAAATCATTGTTGTTTTTAACTGTTATTTTTAGATGTTCTGTTTAGCACGAGTGAGCGGCCACTGTAGGTCCTTCAAGGGAATGTGACACGTGGTGGCGGGTTACAGTATTTTATACCCCCGACCTCCTACCAAGCTAGTTGTTAGGATTATGCTTGTTGTTGCTGTTGTGTGCTACTATAACCACCTGTGGCCTACAGTGGAAACACAACGGGATGGTGGTTGTTCAGACTACATAAAGACTATCTGTATTACAACTACCAGATCTCCCATTCTTTAAAACTGGAGAAAACACTACCATTTGTTAAAGCTAATAGAAAACACTAATGAGGCAGATGAGGCAATATTAATTACTTGTGGTGCATGTGCAAGTAGTATCATGCCTGCAAAATACTGTGAGATAAGCTATTGATTGAACTGCTATATGATATATCACAAAATGAATATCCAGATAGATTGGGTTTCATCAGACAGTGCAGTATTTGACCCTTTCAGATTGGATATTTGGCCTATCCCTAGTTATCTCAGTAGATATCAGATTTCTTCAGACTTTCTCGAGGATTCCCAGTACTTTTTTCTCAGGATTTCTATGATCTAGATAGGTGCTGTTCATCGACCTGCTCATTCGTCACGTGCATTGAGTTGCACCTTATCTTGCCTAAAAGTAAATAAAGATGGATTTTTTTTTACTGTTTTATACAATGTGTCCAGTCTGTTTTCGTTAACTCAGTCAGGAAGGAATTCAAATGCTTGATTTTTTTTCGGTTTTCTAGTTATTGCAGCTACTGTTGCTAAGGTTATCAGTGCACCTGAGCACACCACAGTTCTATATTCTCTGACTGGAATTAAACGTAAACCAAGTTATGTTCATATATTACCATAATTTCATCTCTAATGATTAGTATTTCAACCTAACTTTAGTAACCAATCTAAACTTAAGTTTATATATCTTAGAAACTACAATTTGACTAACACCGAAAAGGTTTCAATGAAGTCATTCCTATCTTACTTTTATTTTAGGTGTAACTATACTTTTAGGCGTAACTTTACTTTTAGCCTTTTTAGATGTGTTAATGAGTTACTTGTAATTTCTTTTGATATCATTATGGCAATATAGGTTCCTCCTAAATACAATCAACAATATATCGTTTCACTCTCATAATTAATAATATACCAGCAGAAATTTTAAGAAGGGTTCGACGGATCAGTGAAGAGATGTATAAGTAAACTGTTTGTAAAAAGCGGGCATTTGGACAAAATCCCGCCGAAGCACGTTGGCATAAATACTGTTAATGCAGTGATCAAACATTGTCTAGCGGTTTCTGATATAACGAAACTGCGATTTTAGCGAAGTGGGTACTGTGTTTGCAAAGTTTTGTATTTTATCTGTAATTGATTTCATACAACTGATGAAAGTTCTCTAAAGTTGATTTTCTCAACTTAGAGGATTAAACTTTAAGCTTCATACTTTAAAGACATTTTTACGGAAGATATCATATTTGTTTGTAATTAAGCACAAAGTTACACAGCGGACTATTTATGCTGTGTCCACCACGGGTATTGAAACCTGATTTCTAGCGTTATAAGACCGCAGACTTACCGCTGTGGCAAAGGATATCACACTAGTATGAATACACAAACACGACAACTTTACTGACGTCAATAATTGAATACACGTTAACAGTAGGGGAGACTGTGGCAAGTTTTTACGGTGCACATAAATCGAAAACTCCTGTATAGATGGCGATGTGAGTACTAGCACGTGATCAGGTCTTCACATCTCACTGACGAGAAGGTGAGGACGAGAGTCCCGTGTAGCTTTCGAAATGTGGGAACAAAAATCGATTTTTTGACTTTCTGAGCAACTTTTTCTAATTATATAAATTACTTAATGTCACTTTAATTATTAAAGCTACGTGGAGCACACATAGAGCCATAGAGTACGTATACATGCCATTTATTATGTGAAATGTGACAAAGGCAATAAATATGACAGATATATTGTTAATATACACTGATGTATATTAATCTATAAAGTATTGGCTATTGGCAGAGAAAACTGTTCCGATGAAAGTTATGAAGAAAAAAAAATTCTGAGGTAGATGGTACGCAAAACACAAAAAACAAAGAATTCAAAACAGCAACTTGTTTTTTATTCTTTGCTCTGGGGGACATTTACCACAATTCTGCTCTTGAAAAAAATGTGGGTGCAGTGTACGGAGGCCCAGCATAGCCAGGTGGTTAGGGCGCTCGACTCGCAATCTGTAGGTCGCGGGTTCGAATCCCCGTCCCGCCAAACATGCTCGCCCTTTCAGCCGTGGGGGCGTTATAATGTGACGGTCAATCCCACTATTCGTTGGTAAAAGAGTAGCCCAAGAGTTGGCGGTGGGTGGTGATTACTAGCTGCCTTTCCTCTAGTCTTACACTGCAAAATTAGGGACGGCTAGCGCAGATAGCCCTCCTGTAGCTTTGCGCGAATCCATAAGAAACAAGCAGTGTACGAATTGTAAATAGTGGTCCCATCTTGCTCCTGTAAAAACGGGAATGCAGTGTATATGCTTTAGAGAATGTTCCCATTTCGCTCTTGGGGAAACATGGATAACGTTTATGAATTTTAAAGAATAGTTGCATATTGCTTGTGCAAAGACGTGGGTGCAGTGTATGAATCAGTAATGAGTATCCCTATCTCGAGTGCAATCAAGAAAAATCGTCTTATGTGCACCAACTTTATTAACACTCTTTGGACTGAAGTCTCATATGATTATGTTTAGTTTTCTTTCCTAATAGTAACATTTATCCGACTTGGAAGTTTGTTTTATAGGATATTTTACTGACTGATTTAGTATCCACTTATATGACTTGGTAATTTAATTGTTTCTTCAAAGTACTTATTTTGAATGTAACAAGTGTGTGTGGTTTGTTATAGCAAAGCCACATCGGACTATCTGCTGTGTCCACCGAGGGGAATTGAACCCCTGATTTTAGCGTTGTAAATTCGAAAACTTACCACTGTCCCACCGGGTGACTGGATGTAAAAAAGAACCCTACTGGGTCTCACAAGTGACTTTTAGTTGAAACGTAAGATATTTATTTGAAAGTATGTGAGATCCAATGATTTAACATATGTTTTTATAAGTACATACACTACTGTATGTGAATATATAAAATAAACCGTTGTCAACTGAAGTTTTTATTTAAGGACACGATAAAAAAAAAACATATAAAATT